TTAGGGTTGAGATGGAGGTGGTAAGGAACCCGCCGACTGCCCACCGGATTATTTCGGATGGCGCTCCCTCTGCTGGTACCATGCCTTGGACCGAATTGTTAGGTGCTGTGGAGAAGTCTCCTTGCTGACTCCGCGTGACTGAGTGGACCGCAGAACGGAACACTGCCCGCCCTGTACCATCCTCATTCTTGTGAGGGTTCAGCTCCCCGTTGCGGCTACTGATGAATCCATCTCTGGAGGGCTTTCTCTTTTTCATTGATCCTACCTGACCAAGCATGAGGCCCTCTCCTAGGGACTGGCCTGGTGACAACATCTCCAAAGTGTGTGCGGTGAAGTCGCCTGTCCTCTGCTTGAAGGAGCGTTCCGGCTGAGCTTCCTCAAAGACAGGCTTCTGTTGTTCTGGCAGAGCCCATGGTACTCCCAATCGTCTTCGCCAGCACCGTCATCCAAACGGTCCGTTCTCTGCGGCCTGCTTTCCTCATTGACCAACTCTCACATGCAAGTGATTGGAAATATCAGGGCCTGGGTGAGGCAGGCCTTCATTCTCAGCGTGGCGTCTTTGCTCTTTTACTCTTTCAAGGAGTCTTGGGCAGATTATTCGCCAAGGTCAATAAGAGGCTTGCGGTCTAGAGTCTTCTTGTAAGCCTCCTGAATTCATTGGAAGGAGCCTGGCTGGAGCTGTTACATGCTGTACTTGATGGAGAAAAAGCTGAGAGCGGTGAGATGCATTTGAATCCAGTGCTGCTTCCTGTCTTTCTGTTGACTTCAGCTTCTCTTCCTGGCTGATCTCCTCACTTCTGTGTATTTTCAGACTACTAGCTGTATTTTCGGACTACCAGCTGTAATGTCTTGTCTGACCCTGAACCTTGAATATTATTTAGGCCCATTTACAATGTAATGAAACAATTTCACACCTCTAAAGCCTATTTATATACTAAATATATTTGGTCTTATTAACCACTTGGTCTGGTAGACAAATCTTCTAAATTTTTTATATCTAGTTAGTTTTACTTATAAATATAATTATTTTCCTGAATGTTGTAGAGTGCCTGTGTGCTAAATAAGATTTTAATAAAAATCACAATTCCATAATCAAATCATTATTTATACATTATAAATGAGAACTATTAAGTCAATTATTATTTTGATAGATCATATTATTAAATATTTCAAGTGTCACTCTGATGGTTAAAATTATGTGTCTATTTAGCTGGGCCATGATTTTTAATGTTTTGGAAGTTATGTAATGTTGTAGTTTGGTAGTTGTGCAGTAATGCAGTTTGGCAGTTATATAATCATGTAATCATCTCCTGTGAAGTGACCTGCTAATTATTTGTAAGGTGAGTTCCCTCAGTGTTAGTCTGCATCCAATGCAAATACAGGTACATGTGCATGTACACTGATAGATAGATAAATGGATAGAAAAATAGATAAATGGATGTTTTGGCAAAGTTTGCTGTCTTGCCCTGGATCCTGCATCCTTAACCTTCTTCCAGAGGCTGACAGATGCCTACCCATTAAGGTATTATTACGTGCAGTCATGTAATCATGAGGCTTGTCTTCTCAGTGCTTGATATAGAAAAACAAACAGAGATTTTGATGAAGATGTTGACTGGATTCTTGTCAACAACCTGATACGATGCCCTGAAATCTATTTATGCTAACTCTGTCAGGGAATAAGTAATTTCAAAATAAGTGTGATCACTCAACATATTCTTCTAAATCTCTACTCAGAGAACTATGTAACACACATTCCTTAACTCCTTTACTTTTGAGATAGGTAAAAAGTCTTTTTCGTTAATCTAAAAGCCCTTTACACTTCAGAGTTTGGCATTATTTTCATATATTTTATTAGGACCCAACCTTCATTGATGCTAAAAGGATAGCACATTGAATTGCTGGTGGCCTTCAAAGCTTTGAAATTTTCCAAGCTCACCCTATTTATAGGAAACCATGTGGAGCAGTAGTTATTGATGGTCAGCCCCAGCCACCACTACCCCCATGCTTGCTTCTGATACAAATTAAGATAATGTCTCACAATGTATTCTAATATTTAAGTATACCTTATTTTATTGAAAGTGTTACTGGGATCAAAGTATAAACTACAATTTTAGCATGCATGCGTTATCTAAGGAATAGCATTTTCCTTAAACTATCTGATGTAAACAATTACATAGATTTTCTTATATTGAATCACTCTAGTAGTCCTTGACACTACTGTAGAGTATCCTGGTATTCTATAATTTTTCTTGATGTATTTTATTAAAAAACCTCTATCTTTAATATGATGCAAACTTGGTCCATGGAGTTCTCTTTTATTATTACCTTCTTTCCAGCTGTTTTGTTAAGACGTGCTTTCTAACATTGATTAGAGAACTTAGCCTCTCTTTTGTGATTGAGGATAGTAATCATAGATGTCACGTGTTCTTTGAAGATTGTTAGTGCTCAGCTGTAAAATATTTGAGCGCCACCCTTTTTATTTCCTGTAACTTGGCATTTAGACCCAGTTAGATTGATTATAGTCTGAGCCCATCTCTTTGATAAGGCAATTGATGCCAATCCTGGTGCGTGCATCACGAGACAAGTCATGTCTGGTCATCTTGCTTTCTGTGACATGCAGCAGCTGTTGATGCTGAACACCTCGTTCCACGAGTCCACCTGGAGCTGTGAGAATCATTTTCATCATCTTTTATTGATTAATTAGTTGGGATGCATTCTAGAGACACTTGGTAACATCTAACTTTGGATACCTTTGCTTTGCTAATCAACTTTTGGAGTTAAGTATGATACTCTAGGAAAGTTGGAGTAGCTTGACCCTAGGTTTGCTTTAGTAATATGATCATTAAACTTTTCCTTTTGCAAATGACAGATAATCAGGTTTGGCAGCTAGGTGGTCTATGTCGAAACGGCTCAGTCCAGCCATCGTGCAGTGAAAGAAGCCAGAGACGATAGAAGCACCTGGATTTCGTGTTCCAAGCGTGTCTTATCTGTGAAAGTTGAAGGACGGCCAGGTTTGGCTCCAAAGCTCTCATTTGCTGACCTGTGAATTAGGCATGTTTTACTACGGCACCACCCATCTGGGTCTTTGAGTGAAGCCTCTCTTCTATGGCTGGTTCTAGCCCCAGTCTCCACTATGGCTCCATGTAAACAGCTGGGACTTTCCCACTCACGGTTTCCCAGCCAGGCTTTGCCTGCTCCTGCAGGGTTAGTCACTGCCCTCTGTCGATTTCTGACCCTGACTTTATTTCTTGCCCCACAACCTCCAGCTACTGCTGGCTGCCTAATGTGTACGTCTCTTTCTTGACTCAGAGAGAACGCAGAGCATTGCTTGGCGCCCAGTTGCTTGCTCTGGGGTCCAGGAGATGTTTTCATGATGAACCACCAGGGCAACTGTCAGGCACACCTCCTTTATTTCCCTTTTCTCAGGGATTGTAGCCCTTTTTTTCCGGCCATTCGTCTTGTCCAATCTCTGAAACTGGCCCTTCTGTCGATTTTGTCCAATTTTCTAGTTGGGTGCCAGTAGAACGGCATTTCATAAGGGTTTCGAGGATGTAAGGGGTACAGTGGTTACACACCAAACGGAAAGATAGGTGAGTTACACAGAGTAGCTGCTCCAGGGAGCAGTCCGCTTTTGAAAAGTTGCAGGATTGGAAGCCCAATGGGCCATGTCTACTTTGTCCTGTAGGACCACCATGAGTCCTGTAGGACCACGAGCACTTGGAATGGGCCCCAGGGCAACCGGTTTCGTATCTGTATCACTCAGCAGCAGCAGAACGCCAGGCCTCTCTTCCAAGCTCTCTCCAGGTGGATTTGAACTGTTGAGCTTTCTCCATTCGTTGTCACGTAACCTCTTCTCCCATCCAGGGACTTCTCTACATGCACGAGGCAGGAGGGAAACCCCATCTCTGGTAGTTCATTTTGCCTGGATGTACACAAGTTATTACATGCTTTTGAAAGATTTCCTTAAAATAAAAAGGCATTGGTACTTTAAGGTTTAGCTGCAGGTATCTGGGTAAACCCACTTATCATTTCCTCTCTCTCCAAACATATGGTTAACTCATATCGACCCCATGTGGGTTTCCAAGCCTCTAATGGTCTGTGGGTAGAAAGCCCAGTCTTTCTCTCGCGGAGCTGCTGTTGGTTTTGAACTGCCAACCATGCAGATCGCAGCCCAACTCTTAACCATGACAGCACCAGAGATCATTTCTCTTCTACGTCATGCCAAAGCATAATGCTATTTACTGAGCACCTACTGTATAGCAGGTCTCATGGTGAGCATTTTGTTTCCACGAAGCCACCAAAGCCGTCTACTAACATTATGTGCCATTATTGTTTTCACATGAGAGACACACCGGCACAAATAGGTGAGTTTGCACCTAGCGGAAACCTGGATTCCACATCGACATGTTCTCTATTCAGATGATGCGTTCTTGACCGATAGGCAATGTTTTCTTCTTAATGAGAGGTGCTTGCAGTATGATCTGTGTGTGAGTAGAGATGTGAAGGGATACATTTTACTCTTGTATATTTGAATGTATGTGCACAGCAAGGCAAGAATACATATTTTTAAACCTCCCATTGTATTTGCAAAGCTCAGACTTCTGGTAGAGACTTAAAAGCAAGGACCAATTGTGTTCATTGAAAATGTGATCATGATTAGATGAAGAAACTAATTTTGCATATTTGTGCTAAGCACATTTATTCTATCCTAGCGGTTCTCATGAAACGCCTGACAAGCATTTTAAAAGTACTATCTAGAACAGTTTTTTTTTTTTAACCAGCCAGTGTTCCAAGTGACACAGAGGTCATCCCTTGCATTTAGGGATGAGGCTTCTCGATGGGGCTTTCATTCTGCATGTGTTGTATTTGTAAGCGGAGTTGAGTGTCACGATGCTGTAAGCATGTTGTCTGCAGAATGCTCTGGCACATCAGCACAGCAACCGGCGGAGGACGACACCGATGCAGGATGTTTCACACTTTATTTCATTTTGATTTTTCAGATCGCATTCTCACAGCACAATACTATCATGGACCTTGTGCAGTTTTTTGTCACCTTCTTCAGGTAACTTGCTTTCGCTGACTTTGACCTTGTTAAGCCTTTATGCTGCTATTTGTCCTGTCAATGCGCTGGAAACATTAACCTTAATATACTGCATGCCTTGATTGCGCTCACATGCTTCCGTATAGAGTGGAGGTGAGAGGGAAACACCGGTGAAATACACCTGTAATAGGTTAGTGTCCTGTTGTGGAAAGAAGATAACTTTGTGAGCTCCCCATTTTAGGTAGGGAGACTCGGCTTTAGGGAGTGAAAGGAGCCCTCTTGAAGCAGTGGGTTCAGCTTTGGGCTGTTAGACACAACATTGGTGATTCAAACCCACCAGCTGCAATGCAGGAGAAAAAAGAGGCTGTTCAATGAAACAAATCGGCATTAGGTGTCCCTTGTGGATTAGGGCCAAAATCCAACCAAACCCACGGTGATCAAGTCAATTCTGACTCCTAGAGGTTAAAGGGGGCCACTAGCAGTGCAAATTGATTCAAACAACCTAAGCCCACAGTTGTTAGACCAGAAGTGCCCGGCGGATGTCCAGGGCTGTACCTGTGTCTGCGAGGAGAACACTTCGGTTATTGTCACCAGGACACCTGGTGGTTTCAGCTGCCGATCTTGTGCGTAGCAGCCCATCTGGAAACTCCTCTGCCACCCAAGCTCTTGAACAAGGATGTAATCAGTTCCCTCGTTTCTGAAGTGATTAGCATATTCTTAGCAACGTATACGCCCCGCCACTGCCATCTGCCATCGAGTCCGTTCCATCTGGTAGTGACCCCGTGTGGGCATTCTGAGGGGGTAAAGATTTATGGGAGTGGTGGATTTGAACTCCCCACCTTGTGGTTAGCAGTCCAACCCTGACTAGACAGGGCTCCTCTGCACTGCATATAAAGGATTACAAATGGTATGAATTTCTGCCTAAAGGAGCTCGCAACCTAGAGAGAAGAAATGTGGCTTTGAAGAGCGTTCTTCCTCAGATCATCAGTTATGTGAGCTGATAGTGATTGGTGTTGGTGGTGGAGGTGGAGGTGGTGGTGCTGGAGGTGGTGGTGGTGGTGGTGGTGTTAGGTGCCTTCATGTTGGCTGTAACTCATGGACAACACCCTGCCTCTTCCTATGTCAGCCCCACCATCATTGTGTTTGAGTCCTTATTACAGCCGGCCACGGTGCCAGTCCGCCCCTGCAGGGTGTGCCTCTTACCAGGACTACTGAGAATGGGTCCAAAGGGTGCACCGCAAAGCCTTCCCATCCCTGTTTCTGAGCAACGTTCTGGTATTAGTGGCGGTTGCATTTTTCAAAAGAGAGCTCGACTATGGGACAATTCTACTGTACACTCGGTGGCAAAATTTGCTTTTTAAAATCCTTTGACACTGAATGAACTCTTGAAACTATTATCCTAAGATGTCCTTTTAACTTAATATGAAAAAAAAATATATCCCCGTAGTCTGCTGAACAAACACACCATCATTGAGCTTAACGAGTAAAGAATGCCTGCCGTAGGCTTTGGGCTCCTTTAAAAAAGATCCAGATGGGACCAGATTAACAGCAGAAAACAGAAAGATTGGACAGGATCCTAAAGGAACAGGGATGAATTTACCTTCATGGGGGAGGAACCCCTCAGACAAGGAGGAGAGGAGGGTGGTCGCACCAGTCACAGAATCCATTCAGCGTCACTCGTTGTCCATGTGGAAAATGTTGAATTGGGGCATGTTCTGTGTACGTTCTCAACAACAACAAAATAAAACCATTCATTAAAAACATACAAAGGTTCTGTTATTAGACCAGGAATTCTGGCGGTACAGTTGGTTAAGCATCAGACTGTTGTTAAGGGCAAGTTGGGCTCAGTGGGCGAAAGAGGAGACTGTTTTCTCACCTGAAGACTGGCGGTCTCAGAAACCCGAAGGAGCAGTTCTGCTCTGTCCTGCGGGTTCCGGGTGATGTGGCGGCACCTCCAGGCACCACGTTTGGTTTGGGGTGAGTTTGGATTTTGGTTTGAGCTAGGTTACAATTTACTTTTTAAAGTATTAGAAGTCATAACGGGACAGATGTTATGAAATGCATTAAAATAAAACTTTCCATGTATGAAAAACATAAATAGGACACGCTGGAATTGAATACTTACTGTGGTTCTTTACCTATATGATCTTTGTACAAATAATTGGGTAGGATTGTGCAAGTAAATTGCTCATAGATTCACCAAGAGTGCTCCTAATGCAAATAAGGTGTTTGGGACTTAGGAAGTTAAGCCTATCTGTCCATGATTTTTAGGGGTTCAGCAGTTATGCATTGATGTAATTATCCTTTATTGTGCAATCTGATGCACTATGCCTCCACTTTATGATGTGTTGTAAATTCTAGTCCCTATGTCAGTGGTTATGGTTCCATTTGGGAGTGAGTTCTCAAGTACGTTAATGAAGCAGGATTAGGATGGGATGTACCTTGAGTCACCACATCACCAGGGACCATGACTCAAGTCACTGCTGCTACACTTACCCTCATTATTCAAGGCACAGCCTAGCACTACCTTGCACAAGTAAAGGGAGTTTCTTTGAGGGCATTATCTGCATCTAACTAAATATATATATATATATATATATGTCTATATATGGAAACAGAAATGAATATATATGTATATGTATGTATATTTCTATCTCTATCTCTAGCTATCTGTCTGTACACACACACACACACACACAGTAATCCCCCCCAGAACAGAAAAGCTATGTATTTTAATTTTTTTACAAAACAAGCTTATCACCTTCAAAGTACTCTCCATTACACTTAATACATTCGTCAAATCTGTGATACCATTCTTGGAAACATTTTTCAAATGCACCTCTCTCATTTTTTTTCTTCACCTCTTCTACATTGTCAAATTGCTGTCAATTCACGTCTTTTTTCATTCCCAGAAACAAAAAGAAGTCTTACGGATCAAGGTCAGGTGAGTCAGGTGTGTGGGGCAAGTGAGGCATGCTGTTTTTTCCCCCCAAAACTGGTGTACTGAGATGGCTGCATGAGCAGGGGCATTGTTGTGGTGACAAAACCAGTCCCCCATTTGCCACACATCAGGACCTTTTTTTCTCACACTGTTACATGATCTTTTCAGAACCTCTAAATAGAAAGCTTGTTTAACAGTCTGACCTGGTGGGATGAACTCCAAATGTACTGTGAGTCGATATTTTCATCTGTTCGGGAAGTCGATGGACATCCAAAACGAGGTTTGCCATCAGTCGACATTTCACCTTTTTTGAAACGAGAAAACCACTTGTACACTTGACTTTTCCCTGTTGTGCTGTCCTTGTAAACTATGCTCAGCATCAACAATTTCTGTGGCATTTTTCCCGAGCAGGAATCAAAATTTAACAGCCACACGCTGTTCTCTTAAATCGGCCATTACAAGAAACGAGGTTCGAGTGAAACTGCTTTTATGAAAAAATTCATTATGACCAGAGAGAACCTTCCCAGGCAACACCACTGGGTGCACTAACTCAGAGTTGCTTGATGCTCACCTAGCAGGAAAAATGTGTACTACAAAGGCTCTGTTCTGGCCAGCACAATTCCAGTTTTTTTTGGATACCCCTGTGTGTGTGTGTGTGTGTATTCACATCATCATGAGCCAGCAGCCTATTGTCTGACCTGATTCTCCAACACCCTTAGCTGGTCATCTCACCTGCCAATTTGCGTTACTCAACTCCCATAGCCATACAGGCCAGGAGAAGCCCCCAGCCTGATAGCTGGCTCACAGAATTGGGTACTTGTCAGCCTCGTCAGCCTCTCCAATCACAAGGGCGAGCTCCTTCATATGTGCCATGGCACCGTGGAACCCAAAGATGGGAGGGAGATACTGAGGGGAAGAGGAGGTGTGAGGTGATGTTAGAAATGACATCCAATTGAACCTTTGGGACACCTTTACCTCTGCCTTAGAGAAACCAGCTATGTGCTGATAATTCTAAAAGCAATGATTTATTTAGGAAAGACATTGGAAATTTCAGCTATCTGTAAACATTCACATAGGTGAACATATATGCAAATTATGTTTATACCTCTAGTTAGATTTTAAGATATACATATTTGAATTTAGTAACTCTTATTATTTCATTGAAGAAAACTAGTCTTTGTGTGTACCTAGTTGTTAGGTTGTCATTCTGGAGTAAGTAAAATAAAGTATTCTAATCATTATGTGGAATACAATGTACTTGATGTTTTTAAAATTTAAATTTAAGTCCTGAAATGTAAATTAGATAGCTTTAAAATAGTGTCAGCATATTTTGAGATTTTATTTTGTAAGACCATGGCTAAATTTTAAAAGATAGCTCAAAGACCATCAGACCACTGTTCTTTCTAGCTGTTTCTAATCTGGCTCTTGGAGAGGCATGGGTGAACACATCAGCTTTTTAGTTTAGACATGTGCTATGAGAACTAAGTCTCCAATTGCATGTCAGATCTCCCCCTCCATGTGTGTGCGTCTGGTGGTGAACATAATTGGGCCAACACTAGAGAGGGTATTTATAGAGGTAATTCTAGCTCTCATCTGAGCTTTTGTGCCCTCTTAAGTAGGACACGCGCCTTCTCTAGATCTCTGCCATTTCAAACATACAATTAAATTTTTGTTGTTGTTCAAGTCTATGGTATAATATTGTAAATGATTAGAAAACGGAAAGGAATTGTTTTTAAAATAGAAACTTAATTTTCTAGTGGGTCAAGTTTCACTGTAAGTCTGTGTGGTTCTCCCCAAATCTAAATCTAACGTCAAGAAAATTTTATTATTTTCAGCTACATGCAGTACAAAGATAGTGTCTTGCTTCCTGGAAGTGTTTTGGTGATTATACTATTATATAATTTGTTACCTCTTTGTGAAATTTGTGTTGATACTCACTGCCATCCAGCCAGTGTTGTCTCACAGCGACCCCTGTGGAGTTCCAAGACTGTGACTGTTTACAAGAGGACAAAGCCTAGTTTCTCTCCCTTGTGGAGCTGCTGGTGGTTTTGAACTGCTGACCACGCTGACTGGAGCCCAA